TGCAAAATTAATCAGTAGGGATATGGACAGAAATATCTTCATGCAATTATTCCAACAAATGATAGAAAGAAAATATTTGCCTAAGTCCACACAGCAAAAATATATTGATGGTTGTAATTTATTGAAAGTTTTTTTCAACACACGCACAAATATTTTATATTGTCTCTAATTTAACGTATTTATATGTATTATGTTTATATATAGGCAATATAAAATATTATCAAATAATACTTTTATTAATATTTAAAACCTCTAACATTTTTACACCTTTTAAAAATTCCAGCAATTTTTCAATGAATATTTTCACTGATAAGTTTGGTAGGGCTACCAATATAAACCTGCACAAAATCTATACGTAATGGTGAAGAAAATTATAATAAAAGATTGGAAAATGGCCATCAACCTCAGTTTATGTCAACGTGTCTAGGCAACTACTCAGTTTTATCTGGATAGACATCATTTGGGCAAATATTTCTTTGAAACAGAAACCTAATGATGCGTATTTTAACCTTTATTTACCTTTTACTCTCTTTAAAAAAAGGAATATAAACAATATATTTGGTACCTTATATTATAAAAAAGATAACAATTTAAATAATATAATTCTCAAGGGAATTATCCCTGGAATTAAGACCATTTATCGAAATGTTGGTTAAAGAGCAAAATAGCGCTTGCATGAGATTTACTATATTTAATTTAAAACATCTATCGTAAATATTGAGGCTGCCTGGCCGGCATTCATATTTTTTGAAATTGAAGATACTTTGGCCAGTAAATCTTTTTATTACCTCGACGTTTCGACAAAAATCTTTTGTCCTCGTCAGGAGCAAACGAAAATTAAACATTCAGCAAGGCGTTAAAATCTAGAATAAAATAAGAATAAGAATAACATTTATAATTAATTTTTCATACACTTAAACAGAAATATTTTCTGATTTCTACGAAAGACCCTATCAATAGATTTTATAAAATTTCCTTTGAAATATATTTTATATATTTTTTAATCTATCATTTAGTATTCAAACTATTATCCATAGTTTTAAACATTTATAATTTTGGGAATTTCACTATATATCATATTTTTGGAGAATAGAGTGATTCCAAACTTTACGGCTGCTTGCTGCCAAAACTCCGCGAGGAAAATCCCCTTAGCAAATTGAGTTTGAAAACTTCCACCAACTTAACTAACGTTGGTTCTAACTTTTAGGAAAGTCATAACTTTTTCTATCTCTCTAACGATATTCTATTTGAATGTTTCGATCTATATCGAAACACACACAGCTTCTATTGAGATATCTACTTTTATCATTGTAGAAATATTGATTTAGCTTATCGCGGAGAATTGGAATGAATATTGATTGTGTGTGCATTATATTTCCTCATATTCAAAACTGAAATACAAATATTTCAATTATATTGAGAATTCTAGAAGGTAGTTAGGGGCATGATAGTTAAAATTTCGTTTTCCGACAAACATTATCCTGGAGCGAATTGGGAAATCTTTCAAAGAAATGAAATTGCCTTACTGGTCACCGATACCTTCCTGGTCTATCCCCAGTAATATGATAAAGTAACCAACCTGCGAAACCCTGGCAAGGTAAAAGGTATATTTATACAAGCGTGAGGTGTAAAATAGCTGGTACTAATAGTAGTTGGGCGAAGAGTAGTACGCACAGTTGATTTTAGGCTACAATGGCCTGGTGTCAAATCCTGCGTTAATCTATTTTATGCTTCATTTTCCCCTATATTTTGCCCAAGTCCAACCCAGTCAGTTACTGCAAGTAGCCAAAATGGGATACAGTACATTGAAAATGAAACATTCGATATGCTTTATAAAGGGGGAATCATGTAAATTGATAATAACCATAATGGAATTTTAACTGAAATATTTTGTGAGTAAACATTTAAAATTTGTAATGAAATTTGGCAGAGAAATAGATGAAGTATACAGTTTTGATTTATTCAATGTAGTTTTCATTATTGCTTTTACACGGCGAAATAAAATTATGTAGAACAACAAATAAAATTGTATTATTAAAATGATTGCTCGCATACAAAATTTCTATTATCTTAAATTGTTATTTTCGTGTCCAATGAAGAGCTTCAGATGTCTCCATGCATCTCTATCACAGCATTTTGTTAAGTAATTCTATTATATATACTTTAAAAGACCAGTTTCACTTGCGTTTGAGCGTTGCAGGGCTGGCAGTTAAGAGAAAATTGCCTTGATATTTGATGTTGGAACTGGCGATGGAGTTCCGGAGAATTTGGTCTATTTAGTATTAGTTAAAAAGTAAGGCTCAGATTCCAACATTCTTTCAAGGTATGGGTTATTGATATATTTCCAACGGAGTAAGGCATTGCACACGTTTCTATAGGTTTGGCCTTCTAGGAGGGATTGATACTATGTCTGAGACTGTGAAGAAGAGTGGGTGGCCTCTTGACATTAGGTTTAGGTTAATGGTTTTCTTTTATAGTCTTTTGAGAGGGCTGTGGGTTGGAGCAATGCTAATGGTTCTTTTTGTACGATTTCTAATGACCGTGACCTTGAGACTTATTGAACTATAAAATTCAAAAGAGAAATAGGATGTTGTCTTTTTTTTAATGAACTTCTGAGTGATAGGATTCATAGATTATGATATATGTAAATATCTAAATATGGTTAAACTTGATGGGACTAATTTTCAACTATAAACGCAAGGCGTGTATGGTACGAATTTAGGACCTGTAAGATTAAAGGTTCGTCTTCTATATTAGCATACACATAGGAGATATCGCCCAAGTATATTTTACAAACCTCTATTCTAAGATATATTTATGTGTGTTTCCCTATCCACCGGTTAAAAGTTGGGTTCATGACAAGTTCGGCTGCTATGTTAGACAGGGGACGCCCCATAGGGAAACCACATATTTGCTTGAACAGTAGATTTTCGATGTAGGAACACATTATGAAATCAAGTTGTGTATTTAATGCTGTTATTTCTTGAATATAAGCTGAGGTATTGATAATATAGTTGGAGGATCAACGTTGAAAAACGAGTAAACAGTTATCTGGAGAGATGGATGGTAGGAAGAAAATTGGTTTGCATTTATTGGTCTTAATGGCACTGAAGTCTGGCGAATCTTGGGAAATCCGTAAATATACGGTATGGTGTTATTATTGTTAATAAATATTTTAATTGGTCTTAATGATTGTTTTATATTTCTTGTGAGGGAGGGGTGAGAGTTTTCTTGAACATATTAATGGATTGAAGGTTAACTGAAGGTACCAAGGTATCTCTCTATTCTTAACAATCTCGAGAAGCTTCTGTTTGTAGTCAACTTGGTTCAGAATCACGATGTCTGTTCTACAGATTATTATATTATGGTTTATTTGTGACTCCCTGATCGCCGTTATATCTATCCAAGTATTGAGAACGTTGTGGATAATGATCTTGGAATATATTTAATCTAACTACTTGTGGTTATAAGTCGGGATTATTGTCGGCACGCCAAAAAGAGATATCTATTCCGATAGGAAGGCATTTGCCTGTTTTGTCGGTGATATACGGTATGGGTAGGACTTCTGGCCATCTAGTGAATCGGTTGACTGAAGTTCTCATTTGGGGACAGTGGTCCAACCAGGTAGGTGTATCGTGTATATAATGTATAAATGATTCGTAATACAGTAGAGACTCCCTCTCTCTCTCTCTCTCTAAAGGACACATAATTACAGAGTCAAAGTGTCCTTTAGGGAGAGGTGGCTCCTTACCAGAGAGTTGATAAATAGTAAAAATGGTAATTTTTCAAATAAAAACTGTTCTTTGTGGAGAGGTGTCCGCTAAAGGGAGGTTCTACTGTATTAATATTAATCTTAAGCAAATATCCTTGATATATTTCGAATAAACAGTGTTTTTCTGTATTTGTAAGAAGGATTATTTAGGTAATAATAAGGAATATAGAGGATTTAAAAATATATTTAATTGCAATTATTTTATGAGAAATTGAAACTATTATAGACGCGTATGATTCTTTTTAATATTTCACAATTTTCTACTGCCCTTCCTGCAATGATAAATTAATGGGAAGGCCTAGCTCATCAGTGGTGAACTCTCCCAGTGGTTTCGCTAGTTTAATCTACCTGGGAGGGTTCACCACTGATGTGCCAGGCCCTCCTATTAATTTATCATTGCAGTAAGGGCAGTAGAAAATTGTTTAAATTTCAAAAATGATCATACGTGTCTAAAATAGTTTCAATTTCTTATGACAGATGGCGTGCATCATACAATTGTTTTGTTCGGCTGAGCGCATTCCTTTGTCGAGGTATAGAACCGTATTTGAAAAGAAATTCATTAAATCTCAATACATACGTATAGTGTATTAGTGTTTATATTGTATAAGGATTTAATCATAGATTGCTCTATTTCTAAAGAAATTTTATTATTAAATTTTTAGAGTCAATATTGGATTTCTTTTTATTTTATACCTTCTAGAGAATTAAGTTCGAATGGGCTTCTTTAAAAAATAAAAATCAACTCCAAATATCTTATTCATCCGAAACTTCGAAGAATTAGATGACATATCAATTTAAGTGATTCTAAAGAAATCCTTTAACACCTACCAATCAGGCACAAAAACAACGTTTTCAACCATAAAATTTATTCCATTATCATATGATAATCACTTCTTCAAACTGGCGTTCCACCGACGAATTTCATTATTGAGGAAATTATATTTAGCGTAGTTATTCACCTTCGGAATAAAGGCTACGTCGAATATATTTATAATGAAAACATATATATTTTTTTTTACGGAAATACATTTTGAAGATATAGTTATCTATAATACAATATAATGCGGCTTGTGATTATAAAACGACATTTGAAAATTATCCCGCATGAGTTTCTTTTTAACGAAAATTCAAAACCTATTACAAAGAGAAACAACGATTATTTTCAACCTTAGGGATGAGGTATGAATAGATGAATTGTGAAGAGTAATGATAAACGGAAAAATAAAAGTGTCATGGGATGGGAATCGAACCCACAGTGTTCCGCTTACCGGGCAGATGCCATGTCCACTAGGCTACCCTGGACATATTTTTCCCGTTCGTAAAAATACATAACGTAATTTATAATACAATATGATGCGGCTTGTGATTGTAAAACGACATTTGAAAATTATCCGCATGAGTTTCTTTTCAATGAAAAATCAAAACCTATTCCAAGGGGAAACAACGATTATTTCCAACCTTAGGGATCTAATAACCGATTATATAGGGTTTTAATACACAATAGAGGTTTTATAAATATCTAATATAAGTGTCTTATATTTATTTATTCATCAGATGTGGTTCCTGCGCATTTAGTGTGAATTACAAACAACATCGATGAATTGAGGTAAGTTGCTCCTTAAAATATTTGGACTATAAGTTCATATAATATCCAAAATAAACAGCTATTATATTTATAGAAAGCTATAATATATATTGAAATGTGAAAAAAAAAAGAAAATATAGATAAATATTTAGACAAGATTGGCCTTAAATATCCATTTCTTGATTTCTCAGGAAGCCTCTAGGAAGAAATATTGGTCGTGGAAGTACAGCGTGCACCACGCTAAAGGAGGCAACAGCCTGAAACGCGTACGTGTTTGACTTTTCTTGATTTATCAAGAAATTGGGTTGGCCAAATATCATGGAACAAGCTAAATCAACGTTTAATTGAATTTTGTTCCACTAAATGGTGCTTTGCCATCTAAAATGCCCGTGTGAGTGGTAAAAATATGCCTTTTTTGTTGTTTTTAATATATTAAAATATTTTAGTTTTTTATTTTTTCAATTATTTAATGTATATAAACGAAGAACAACTGCTCTGTTATATGACAATTTATGGCTTAGAAGAAGGGTTCGGTTCATCACCGCCACGTCAGATGACAAAAGCTGATTATTGATGTGACCTCGGATTTCTCTCCAAAATTTTAAAATTGAAAAACAAGTGATACATGATGGCGCTGGCATCAGCCAAAATCGTCTATTTTGGTGTCCATATTTACATAACATCTAAATATCTCTCTCTCGATTAGAAAAAAACTTAAAACAAATCTTTGCTTGACTTTTTTTCTATTATATAATCCTTTTTTATATTATCTCTAGTGTACGTGGTACAGGCCATGGTGGGTAGAAGTTAGCGACTGCTTTTAGTGTAAGTGCACCACATGTCTACACATGTGAAAATCTATTCGACTTTTGCACTTACAAGTGAACCAGAGTCCTGTTTGATACTTGCACACGCTGGTGAGGTTGGACTTTTGCGAGAATCGGGGGCCATTGATGCTTTTTATCAGAAAAAAAGTGCCCAATGCGGGATTCGATCCCGGGTAGTAGCGGTCTAAAACCAACGGTTAAGACCATCCTTCCATCATAGAATCGTAACTATGCACACAGAGTGTCCTTGTGTTACGCGTCCAATAGCTACCACGGCAGAATAAACAATTATCATGTTGGTGACATGAAACCCGAAATACTCATAAACCGCGTAACATTAATAAAGTCACAAACAATAGAGCTCGTATTGCTGAGACATAGCCAAAATATTTATTAGGATCAAAGAGAACAGCAAAGAAATATAAACTAATCAAAATCCTCTAATAGTAAGCCTTCAAAATGAAATAAGCTATAGCCAAAACGTCAGCACAAAATTAATAAAGTGTTCAAAACAGAAATATCACAACTTGGAATCGCAATGCGTTTTTTTTTAACTAAAGAAAAACTGCGATCTTTCGAGCGACTATTTATTTATTTATTTCAATTTAAAGCGCTATGTCCCCCTAGGAAAACTTGCGCTGTCATACATGTATGCCTTTACATTTGTCTATACATATATATTTACAATAAATTTAGGCCGTAAAGAGAATAGTAATTTGATATTAACAAGGAGAAAGAGAGAGGGAAAAAAACGAGAACAGAGAACTAAATGTTTCTTAAATAGGATTTTAAATATTTTATACTTCAAAATTATTTTTGACTGGTTTTAGCGATCAAAAGCCTGTTTAAGAACTGTTTATTCCCTCGAAAGTTCGCTCGATTTTTAATTTACAATAAGTATACGCTTTGCTAGTCTGGTATATATCTGGAATAGATAGGTTTAAAGACATTCTTTACTATTTTGAAGAGAACAGAGACCCGCTTCTATATGAAAATTAGATTTCCATATATCTACGGCAGGGGTCGGGAAACTGCGGCTCTTTATATAGTCCATACGCAAATATTATTTATGCGAGTACTATTTTTTGTTGGCAAGAAACAAATTTGTGGCTCTTTAAAAACTTTGAAATTTTTTAAATCTGAATTTTTAACTCTTCCGACTCAAAAGTTTGCCGAGCCATGATCTACGGTATTTTGTTTTCCTATCAATATTTGATATTTTCATAAGATAAAAACTCTAAGCAGAATCTCATTCAATCAAATAAATCATGTTACATTCCTCTTTTTATGTTTCTAAAATATATATCGAGTTTGGCGTCAGTAGTTTTCTATTATAACTATTTTATCTCATCCTAATGGTATTTAATGAAGTACACTTTACTGTAATTTCATGTTCAATATTTCATCAGATTCAGCTAATTGTCATAGTAATTTGTCAAGCAATTTGTACTTCGAACTATCATATTCCAGGTTGTTGAAATATTTCAAAAAGAGAAAACCTTTACAATTTGACGGTTCTTAATTTTTTTGCTTATCCATAGTACACGTGGTACAGACCATGATATTCATGGTGGCGACTGCTTAACTGTAAGTTCACCACATTTATACACATGTGAAAAACAGTTCGACTTTGCACTTACAAATGTGCCAGAGCCCCGTTTGGTTACTTGCACTCGCTGGTGGAGTTGGACTTTTGCAAGGATCAGGAGCCATTGGAGAATTTTTTTTAATCAGAAAAAAGTGCCTAATGCGGGATTCGAACCCGGGTCGTAGCGGCTAATGGTCCCATTTACCCGAAACTCCATTTCCCCGATATATGTGTAGAACAAGGCATATTTACGTATAACCGATATGCGACGCGCCTGATTCGAGAAAACAAAGCAGGTCGACCATCATTAATATTTAAAAATTAGGTTCTAGATATATAATTCAGGTATATGTGAAAGCCTTAGGATATTGAAATAATCAACGATTCGTTGATATTCTGATAAACGGATGTCTGATGTCGCAAGTCATCAGCCCCTTTCAGTTTTCCCATCAGAGGATGTCTTTTTCATAATTTTCCGAAGCTTTCTTCTATTTGGGATAATTTGAACTCTCCACTTGATTACACATGATGATAATACAATTATTACGGCGTTTTCATTGGGCCATTTTAAGCAATGGAATGTGTTCTCCAGGAACTTGGATTATCCAAATAATATATCGACGACAAATTAGATTAATATTATATGAATTATCTAACTCTTTCGATCAAGGTTTATTCGAAAGGTCTGCTATGCACGATTACAACTCCGATCCTGTTGAGAGTCGAGACTTATATTAAAGAAATATAACTTTATTTTTCGAAGTTCGAAGGAATAATTTTTAGTTTTTTTTTTTCCAAATCCCTTCGAGATTTTGTGCCAAAACCTATCTGATTCAACCAAGTGTTTCAAAGATTTCATCATGCCATTTTATTATATCATTGAAAAAATCTATGTGAGAGTGAATAATTATATTTCAATATATAGTTATTCACAAATTAACCTTAATGTTTCAGAATAAGCACTTATTTTAATTCAAGTTCTCCACATATTTGAATCGATTAGGCCATTGATAAGTGTCGGTGGATGAGTGGGTCACACCCTCGATTCGCGACAGTCATGAACCGGTACCGATTCCCGCGTTAACATTTTGATTAATATGTGAATAACCTTCACATATTATTCATTTTTTGTTGCAAATATCTTAAACTAGGTTGCTCTCTTTTTGAGCGGTACCTAATGAAGAGATTTTGGAACAAGAAAGGCCCTTGATCTATTATTTAAAAGTGTCCCAATAAAATTTCAAATAACTGTCTTGTCATCTTTAGCAATAGAACCTGAAATGGTGAAACTTTTTTTTTTCAAATATATTTATCTGAAGCAAACGCTGTTGTATCACTAATATTAAATTAGTTCAGTCAGGGGGTGATAGTGCGCTCTTCATATATATATACATTGAGGATATATATTAGAGATTTTAGTTAATAATAATTTTCCCTCTAATATATTAGGTAGAGCTCAAAATATATCAAAAATACACATCATTTCACATCAAATTTATCATTGGATCAAATTATAAGTTATCAACCTGACTAATCTAGCTGTCGTTTTAGAACGTTAATTGTACGGGTCATCAGTCTAGTTTATTGTAATTCTATAGGAATGTGTTATTTATGTGGGAACGTAGTAGGCACAACGGGATCCCCTTAAAGCCGGGATTTAATATGGTGGATACAATTAACACATTTTAAGTTTACCTATCAGTTTTTATATGGTAACAATGAAGGCTTTAAGAAAAAATCAAATAGCACAATGAAAGAATACTAAATTATATTCACAACCTACAGGTATCAGTTCAGATAACATATACTAAGAAAATATAACAATTTTTTGAACCTTATTCAAGGATCTTCAAATTATACAGAGGGTTTTTACTCTATATGCATGGAACTTATATGCATTACTTTTTTGTTATTATTGAAACTTCAATAAAAAACACAAGTGACTTTAAGTCAATATTCCAATTATCAAAACAGTTGGATCAAATAATTTTGAAATTTAAATAATACCAGGTGTAGTTTAATTTATCTCTTTTTTCTTTTACAAAGAAAACACGCCAAAGGAATTTTAGTTTAGATTTAACTTTATTTATTTCTTTTGATTTTGAAAAATTAAATTCCGAATAGAATTGGTGAAGGGAGAGGGGGATTGTTTTGGATTATTCTCATATTACACTTTAAATTATAAAACATGATCTTGTTCTGCCTCACACTAACTTTTGTCTAATTCTTGACAACTTATGTCTCTGCAATAGTACAAAACAAAATGATACAATGAATTCATTAAATAAAATATAAGGAATTGT